GAAATTTGACATTCAACCTTTAATAAAATTAAATATAAGTAATGTTATTAAATGTTCCAACTGTAAACTGTGTCAACTGCTGTAGAGATACTTGTATACAATTATTTGGCATTAAATATGTATATAGTTAATTTACTATTATAGACATTAAATGTGGTAAACACCTGTCCTTTGTTTCACTTACTTAAACACACGTGACTATCTACCAAATACCTGAAATATCATATCGTCATATCCTGACCCATCAGGAAAGAGATTATTCATTATACAATGAACAGGAACATGAGACGTGGTTGTCAGTAACACCAGTGAATCTCATGCTTACCAAGTTCTTTACATACACAAAGAAAAAAGTATATAGATCCTGTATTGACAGTCAGACTGGGTGGACATCATGACAGCCTTTAGCTCGTGCTTTCTAGAGTTACGTGTTGTTACTGAATCACGTTAGGAATTTGTTAATAATTGTGATTATTTCTTAAAGGAGTTTTGGTTGCAGGGAGCTTTTAGTTTTAATTCAAAACTGCTCACATTGCGATCATTGTTAACGTTTTGGTCTCCACTACAGAAACACTAGCTGACTGATAAAGTCTGATCAGGTTGTCTGACGTCGACTGCTGTTAGTTATTAGTTGAAGTAAAAGATGTCAGTACTTCTCAGCTGTTTATCTGTCTGCCTTTCCTCAACAGGAAGTCATCAGAAAAGACTGGATGTTCAAGCTGGTTGGAAAGGAAACATTCACCGTGGGAAGCACAAACACCAAAGCCACCATAGTCATCGAGGCCATCAGCGGGTTCGCCTACGAGTACACGCTGGAGATGGACGGCAAGAGTCTGCAGAAGTTCATCAACAACAAGAATCAGACCACCAAAACCTGGCTGCTCAGAGTGGACGGCGCCGACTGCAGGGTGGTTCTGGGTGAGTTCTGTAACCGCAGTGAGGGAATGTAGGTAAACGCTGAAATATAATCTGCTCAGGTTGAGCTCAGTGCGGTTATTTTAGGAAACATGACTACAGCATCGATCTGGAATACACACACTGAACCCCAGTCAGTTCAGAGCAACGTCATTCAGTCATTCAGGGATTGACGGATCATCTCATCAGGACTGATACATGTGTGCAGGCGAGTTTATGGAGCCCAGAAATAAACAAATATACAGCGTATGTAGATAATCATAAAGTGGGCATGTCAATAATGTTATCACTGTAATATTATTACAAGTTACTGCCCAACACTGGTACCAGTAGATGCAATATAGGTTATTATTTTAGCCTGTAATCATTTGCTTTAGTGGAAGAAAACTGAAGTTGGTGGTAACAGTTGTATAGAAAAGATACATTTAAGTGACTTTATTCAGATTAATTCTGTTCAATTTCACTTAATATCTGTTAAAAAAAAAAAACAACAACAACATGTTGATCAATCCTCAATTATGAATAAACACTGTTCTCCTTCTGTCCTACAGAAAAGGACACAATGGATGTTTGGTGCAACGGGCAGAAAATGGACACAACGGTGAGAATCAACAAACTCTATTTAAATATATATAAATAAATCAATATAATAATAATAATACTTTCAATTGGTTTAAATCTCAGTGAGTCAGCTCAGATCACCTCGTCCAATGTGGTCGAAATGTGGGAAAAATGGTTTAATTGCAGCTTTTTTAAAGGTTTCATAAATCTGAAATGATGTTTTCAGAATCAGAATCAGAATCGGGTTTATTGCTAAGTACGTTTTTACACGTACAAGGAATTTGCCTTGGTGTGTATAATTAATGTAATGTATATATACAGAGTGGGTGTCCTTTCAAAATAAGACATTTAAAGGAAACAAGTCTGTATCTGTGGATATAAAAAGGCCGATGCCACTCTGAGATACAAAAACATTCATATTTTTCCTCACTAATGACTCGATGGCATCCTAAAACTCTGACTTTCCACAGGGAGAGTTTGTGGATGACGGCACAGAGACACACTTCATGGTGGGGGAGCACGGGTGCTGCATCAAGGCTACGAGCAGTGGGAAGAAGAAGAGCGGCATTGTGCACTATTTACTGCTGGACGGGGAGAAAATACCAGCTTCGACACAATAGCTGAGAACTTTCAAAGAGACTGTGTGGATGAGCACATGTAGAAATACCAGGCAGATACAAACAACACTGGCTGCGCTTTATTTTGAAGGATCTGTTTTTCCATTTGGTTTTGATGACACATTTTGAGAATATGTTCATGTAAATAATGCAAATAAACACTGAAAATGTGCAGCATTCACTTTGTTGTATGTTTTTATTTTCTACTGGGTGATTTATTTATTATTTATTATCTGTGAACTAATATATGTTGTATGGTTGATAATAAAGTGAATAAAGTTCATTTATGGCAGCCATGTGACGGGATTTTCACAACTGATGTATTCATGTAAAGAACAGCACAGTTATTAAGTTTATGGCAAATTATTCAATTAGTTAATGACATATGATTGAAGTATCGTACTTCAGATAACTTAAGTTTCTCTACCGTTAAAATTACTTATATTAATAGTTTATATATATATGAGTTACCTGTTTAAACATTACTTCCATTTAATTTGACTGTAAGTTATTTATAGCTGCCATTCTGTCATATCTATCATCCTGTGTCACTGTGGGTGTTTTTAGATGAGGATCGTCCTGGTCTATAGATGGAAGAGTATTCGGAGATGGTCAATCTCTCTGCCAGATCGACATGTGACCCTCAGCTACTGCCCTGATACACTAGGCAGGTACCTGTCTGGTCTCTGTCTGTTCTGTCTGTCTGTTCTGGTCTTGTCTGGCCCTGCCCTGCCTGTCTGTTCTGTCTGTCTGGCCTGCACTTGCCTGTCTGTTCTGCCTGTCTGTCTGTCTCTGATGATATCCCTCTCTTCTGTAGCAACCTCAGACGGAGCAGATCACCTTTGAGACGCTGAAGAACGCCATCGGTAAGTTTCCACAATCATCAATAGCAACACATTCTTATCATTTCCCCTTTAGACAGAGAATAACAAACAAACAATATGTTTTCCTACAGTGTCTTTATTGATTGATTGATTGATTGATTGATTGAGTGTTACGGCCGGTCCTCTTTTGTTTTATTCTGAAATGGGGTTGTGCAGAAGACAGAGGGGGTGTGGAGGAGGAGGAGCGGAGGAGGAGGATGCAGGTGGTGGAGAGGTTTCAGACGGCGCCGTTTGAGGAGATAGCGGCTCACTGTGGAGCCAGGGTGAGTGACCTCTGACCTCTGACAATGATACTTTGACACACTATGTTTTGATGAGCGTGTGAATCAAACGTTCTCTCTTTCCAGACCTCTTTGCTTCAGTCTAAACTGGATCAGGTGTTTGATCTGATCATCCGTCCTCCCCCGTCTCCGTCCGGACACTCGCCGCCTCGCTCGACGCCCCTCTACGGGATAAAGTTCCCCGACCTGTGTGTCTATTAGACTCCCCGAGAGGTTCAGCAGTAGAAAGCTTTCCTTACTGTGTGACGTGTTCCCTGTTGCACACCAGGAAAGGAAACAAAGTGTCCCTTAAAAGACAGATTAGATTTTGTTTTAGATCTTTTGTGTTTTCCTGCTGTTATTGTTCCTGCACTAATTAAAGAATTTACGTATGCTCATATTTTTTTCATTCATTCATTTTTCAAAATAATACCCTGGTCATCAGTCAGAGGAAAACAACGTCAGCAGTCGCATGTTATCTATCTGAAGGAGGCGGATGAAGAAGTTGAAGTTGTGCATCTTTTTGCTTGCAAATAACTCTTTATTTACATAATGAGAACTACAATGAGCAGCCTTATCCCTCATCTTAAAAAGGACACACACACACACACAGGTTAATTAGTTCACTCAGACAATTTTAAGAACAATGTCCAACAGAAAGACTGAACAGGTCTCAGATGAAGTCTACCACTACCTGACTCAATAGCTCAGGGGGATCAATGAATACTTCTAGGTTGTAAGATTGCAGGTTCAAACCTTATGAGGATCAGGTTGTTTTAAGTATTGGTCCACCAGAAAGACTGAACAAGTCTCAGAAGAAAGATAGAACTACCTGATCCAGTGGCACAGGGGGATGAGAGACTGCTTGGTAGATCAGAGGTTGTGGGTTTGAATCTTATAAGACTCAGGTTGATTTTAAAACACGTGTCCACCAGAAAGAGTGAAAAGGTCTAAGAACACAAGTACATCTACTGAACTCAATAGCTGGAGATGACAAAGGAGCGCGCTGAAGTTCTATAGTTGTGGGATCGATCTTTATAAGACTCCGATTTTTAAACACGTGTCCACCAGAAAGACTGAACAGGTCTAAGAACCAATCTTCAACCAG